GTGAAATTGAATGGATGATGTAGAAGATAGGCAATTGTTGTAATTTCATAAGTTAATATTTAAAATTTTATGTTTTATTTCTTAACAATCCAACATGGCAGCTTATGTGGGAAAATTACTGACATGTTGTGTAACATGTCAATTGATGGAGGGGTAATGGACACATGAGGGGCACGTGACATTTTACCATCAAATTAGTATTAAAACTATAGACTAGGGATGTTTTGGCACTTAAATTTATAACTTTATAGTAGGAGGAAATATATGCCCAAATTTAGAAAGTTGGGAGGCCAAACAGTAATTTTTGCCACCATGGGCCCGTCCCTTTCTACTGTCAGTTATATACACCTTTTTACTTCTTTCTTTAGGTTTACAAATTTTATAAAAGCTCAAAAGTTTTGAATCGGACCTGATTGGTCGGTCAAACTGATTAAATTTATTTCTGATAGTATAAATGATTCGGGCGCACTTTTTATATTCTTTAAATGGTTAAACCATTTGAAATCAATAAAAATCATTAAAACTTAAATTATTTAAACAGTTAAATCATTCAAAACCAATACAAATCATTAAAATCATTTAAATTAATAAACCATTCGAGTGAATGATTCAATGCTTACGGATAAATTCGACCGAATGATTCAATGCTTATGGATAAAGTCTTAAAAGATTTGTCTGCATGCAGGGCTTGAACTTGCAATCTTGAGACTTTTATTTTGATTCTTTGCCTCCAAAACAATACAAAATTTGTGTTACTAAGTGATTGAAATTTTATTTATTTAATGGATATCTCAAAACTTTATATCAAATTATAAATGATAACCACGAGATTCGAATACCTATTCTCTTTGTTTTCAAAACACTCTTCACTTTAGACACAACTTTTTATTTGTAATTTTTACTTTTCAATATATTTATTTTATTTTTAAAACCACAACTACATTAAAATTTGTTATCACAGAAACTCAAATTTGTGATGTTTCTTACAATAAATCAACCACCTACACCCCACAAACACTGCATGAAATATTTTACATAATAATTTATTTATAATATTGTGATTAATTTAATAATTTTATCGATTAAACCGTTCAAACCATCAACTGAAGATCAAAACAATTTGACCTTCTGTTCAGGTTTAAAAACATTGTTTATAGTCCTTTGGTCATGATCTCAGTGAAATCCGATCCAATCTAGTGTTACCCGCGTTAGAATGAAACAATAATAATAATAATAAAACCTCAACAAACACCGAGTCCTAAAGTCTCAATCCATGAATGAATTCACTGATTTTCCACCATAATTAAATCTGTCATTTTCTCATATATTAAAGGCGTAAAAGTCTTATCAGTACCTCAACTTGTTTTTGTGGAAGATCAACCTTTTAACGTCACAGTTGTGGAATATCAAACCTTGATTTTTGGGTTGATCATCCGCACACGACTGGTTCAGGGGCCGATATGCTTTACTTACTACTCTGTACATTAAACAGATATATGCATGCTACACAAGGTGAAGGTACCTTTCCCTGAGAAAATATCATCAAAAATCAGCAATTAATGCCAATTACACATGTTATGCACCTCAGGAATGTTGATGCCAAGACAAAAAGGTTTCTTATTTCAGTTTTTGCTGGGGCCAATCAAAGGATAGACGCCATATGCTTGGAATGTGGAATGGAAAAACAGTTCCTTCTCCTGCTGACACTCAAATGTTATTGGCCATCATAACTAAAACACAGCACTTGAGATTTACTGGGGTTGGTCGCACACCTCACAGGTGGTGGCTGAACTGATATTTGCAAAGGTGCAATGTTCACAGGACCAGTAGCCTGGATTGTTGAGATTTCTACTAACACTATCACTTGATGTCAACTCTTTGACATTCCCACCCTTACTGCTTCCACATCCTTTGTTCTTGGAGCTATCTGTCCTGTTACAACCACCATGGGAATCCACATCCGATAAACCATTCTCAAGAGCTTGTACTAAATTCTCAAAGTAATTCCGCGTCACACTGTTGTTATTGAAAATCACAAGATTAAGAACCAGCATTAAATTTCTAAATCCATAATCTCTTTGGCACAAGTTATTTATCAAGCAATGGATGGAATAATATAAAGTTCTACCAGATGAAGAGTTCCAAAGACAAAATTTAGGTTGTTAATACATTTCAAATGAATATTACCTGGTTAGTCCTGAAAGTTTTTTGCGGAACTCGTTAAACTCTTTTGACTGGCCTTCTGCAGTGAGGTAACACTGTAACTCCTTCTCTGCACATTGATGAAGTCGTTCCAATCCAGATTCTGCCTCACCTGCACGACATAGAGAGGATGATTAAACAGACACATGACATCATAGACCCATAGCTTCTAGCAGCAGGAACATACCTTGCAAGTATTCAAAGAACTGCATTTTTGCAGCTTCATGCTCTGGTAAATAATATCCATAGGCATATGTCCATTTTAGAACTCTCCTACATTCGATTATCTAGAGCAGCAGAGCCACAGAAATAAGGATATGTTATTTTCATATAGGCAAAGAGTCTACAATGAAGAACTTGGAATTTTGAAATTTACCTGCAACCAGGCTTCAGTGATGAGCTTCAACTGTGAAAGAGGTTGGCACTGTATGTCACTGAGCTTTGCAAGCTACATAAACACACTTATATTATTAATATCCATTAGCTGCAAATTAAAAATAGATTCTCTCTCTCTCTCTCTCTCTCTCTCTCTGTAGTCTGTGCACTACTTTCTCCTCTTCTCTAGTTGTAATCCCCTGCCCCTGCAGACACTTCTTTTGTGTACGAAAGGGGCTAAATTGAAGATCTTTTCATCTTTCCCAAAATCTCAGTTGATTTCAAAATAATAAGCTGGTCTTATTGGGGGGAAAATAAAAAGCTTGCTCCACAGGTTTTGTAGATTTAAGACATTTCAATGAATCACCCTAAGCTACACTTTAGAGGGAAGGAGCATAAGAAACACAGCCATAATACAAGTGTGGATTCTTAGTTATTTTATTTATTTATTTATCAAGAGGTGGGTTACCGTAAAT